AAAAAAAAACACCTGGAGAAGGGATAAAGCAAACCCTGGTGCCCGCCCGCCCCCACCAAGAAAGGGGGAGGGAAAAGAGGGGTAAAACCCAAACGAAGGGAGGAAAATGGGGGCAGGGAAAAGAAAAGATGAGAGGAGGGAAGAGGGGCGGTGGGGGAGAGTAAATCAGACTGAGCCGAGGGGAAGGGGTCGAACCAAAGAGGGCTGGAGGTGATGGGGTCTGCTCACACAGAGGCATGCACATATATAGAGATATATGTTCCGATACGTGTAGTTTTTTATCGATAGTACGGCTTTCGGCTTAAAACAAATCCAGAAACGAGGAAAAAACGGCACAGAGCGACAATGGAGGGCAAGGCAGGGGAGGGGGGGCCGGGGACGAGAAGGCAAAAAAAGAAACCAACAGAAAAAAAAGAAAGAAGAAAAACCATCCAAATCAAATCAAATAAAAAAAAATACTAAATAAATAAAAATAAATAAATAAAAAACAAAGCAAAACTTCACAAATGTCCTCGTTACTGAGATAAACGAATGTCTCTGAGCTCTTCCTGGGACACGCATTGAGCTGTTAGCTGTGACTCTGCAGGGAACTGCTAAGTCCTCATCAGCACTCAACACAGACTTTGCTTTCTGCTTCCTTTTTTTTTTTATTTTTTTTCCATTATATGCTTTTTTTTTTTTTTAAGTCCCTCTTGGTTAACATCCACTTACCAAAAAAGTGGCATTTCCTCCTTTAGTAGGTAAGGTATGAAGAGAAGGGAAAAGCGGGGCAATATAAGTGCATCATTAGATTCACAAAAATGCAAGAGAGAAAGAAAGAGCGAGAGAAGGAGGAGAGACAGAGACAGAGCCAGAGAGAGGAGAAATAAAACAAACCAACTCACTTCTCCTACAGGGAGGGAAAACCCTGGGCCACCACCGTGGCCAAGCCCCGAGCCAGGCTCTCACCAAGAGCTGAGGGGGTTTTGTCTGGCTCTGGGGCCCCCAAATATCCGAGATCCTCCAAGCCACAAATGCTGCCTGGGTGTTTTCCCCATCTTTGCAAACATCACTAGACCAAAAAGATGGGTGGAAACAGCTCCTGCACCACCAGTCCTGACCAAGCTGGCCAACCCCTGGCTTTAGGGTCTCCTTTCCCCAGCCACAGCCCAACACCAGGTCCCTGAGTATCCCTGGAAGGCTGAATCCTGCACAGGGAGTCCAGCCGAGGGGATTAAAGAGGGTTCAGGGGGATTGGGGTGGTGCCAGGATTGTGCCACCACACCCAGGGCCACTGACCTCAATTCTTTGCCATCCCCATGCCCCAAATACTTCTGGTGAATCCTCGAGGATGAGGTTCTCTCTACACTGTGTCCTAGACACCACTTTTCTCCCCCAAAAACAAGCAGGAAGGGCGAAGGGGTGGGATTCTGGGGACCACCACAAAGATGCTGCAAAAGGGTCACAAGACCATTTGCATCCCTGAGCATCCCAGATTGCTCCACACCCCACCTCCTTGTCCCCATGGATAAGACAACCCCTCCAGCCACAGAGCAGCAAGCTGGAGCCAAAATGAGAGGATTTGGATTTTTTGTTAAAAATCTGTTGCTGTTGCAATGGCTGCAGTGAGGGGGAAAAGAACAGGGGGAGTTCAGCTGAGCCCTTTCCCAGCCCCGTGTCCCAGCAGAGGAAAACAAAAGCAGAGAAGATGAAGTAGAAGAAGAGGAAGATGAAGAGAGAAAGAAAGGGCTTTCCTCTTTCCCAGGGCAGCATTTTGGTGCCAGTTGGCCATGCTGTGGGGTGTGGGGCTCCCACCCAAACCCTGCAGTCTCCTGCCCAGGCGTGCAGGAAGGCAACGACAGTAAAAGCATCCCAAATAAACCCAAATCGGCAAAGACCCAGCCCAAAAGGGAAAACACACACTGGGCACTTGTGGGGATGGGACATCCAGGGCTGGGATGCCATCCCCTGCTCCTGGGGAATGCGATGCCCTGGACCTGCCTCTCCACAGATGAAGATTTCAACCTTTCCCCATTGCAGCCTCCCAGTATTTTTCCTGAGTTGGGTTATTTTCCCCCCATCACGACCCAAAGAGGGGTTAAACCCACACATCTCCCCAAATTTCTCAGGTTTTGCCCCATCCATTCAACCCAAACCCCCCCTGTGCCCACTCCCACCCCTGGCCACTGCCTCTATTTCTCACTAATTACGTTTGCCTTCGTTACTGGGCCACTAAGGTGGGACTCAAAGGGAGCAGCCCCTGCATGGAAACGAACACAAATTCGGAGGGCTGAAAGACACAGAAATGCATTCTACCGACAGCACGAGGAGACGGGGAAGAGAAAAGGGGGGGAAGAAAGAAAAAAATATTACGTGGACAGGGCAAAAAAATATATATAAAATAAGAACGTAAGAGAAGAGCATGGCTTTGCAGCTAACTGGGGAAAACCATACAAATCAAAAACAAAAAAAATCATATATAGCCACCAAAAAGAGACAAAATGAAAGAGAGACAGAGAAGGAGAGCGAGAAAGAAAGGGAAAGAAAGTCAGAAAGAAAGAGAAAATAACATTAAATCAAGCTACGGTGCTTTTCAACAGGCTCATCTGCAGAAGTGAACGTGCAGAGGTGGACGAAATACCTACCTTTGGAATTGGCAGTGACAGGAATGCAATAATAAAAAAAGAAAACAATAATCTCCACATTTGGAGGGCAGAATGGGAAAAAGACAAGGACTCTTTAGTACGGCGATCCAGACCCCTCGGCTAATCCCGTTTGCTCTGCTTAGAATTTTTTTAAATTATTTTTTAAATTCGGTCTCTTTAGCTTTTAATTTTTGTTTGTTTGTTTGTTTGTTAGTTTTTTTGTTTGGTTTTCAATGGAAAGGCTGTGGCCAGCCACCGAGCGGGGTGGCCACGGGGGGAGTTGCTGGCTGGTGTCTGTAACCCGGCTGCAGTTCAGTCTTAAAAAGTCACTCTATAACATGGCAAAGTCCCGGATAACATGCAGGGAAGGCGATGGATGGAGGTGGGACACGGCGAGGGATGTTGGGTTGTGTTGGCCCAAAGAAAACCGGAGAGAAAGAGGGGCTGGAGGGTGCGTGTGGGCAAGGAGGAGGAGGAGGAGAGACCCGGGAGGAAGGCTGGGAAGGCAGCAGGGATGGATGGAGACAGGGCTGGGTATTTAAAAGGGAAGGTAACACCGTGCAGCGCCCCGGGGCACCCCTTGCTCCCGGTGGCTCTGGGGGTGCTGAGGGGGGACACAGCTCATCTGGGGGATGGGCTGAGCTTTTGGGGGTCTGCAGGAGATGGGAAAGGAGCTGGGTACCAAGGATGCTCAGCATCCATCCTGCCGGGATGCAGGATATGGGTACCTGGGTGTGGGATGATTGTGGGGTGCTTGGATAACCCAGCACCCAGCAGCCTCATCCTGCAGCCAGGGAGGAAAACCATCCCCACAGCAGCAGGATCCAGCTGAGGACACGGGACAGTAGCCAATTTGAGGAGGAAAAGGGCAATTCGCTCCATGAGATGGAAACAAGCCCATTTCTTTTGCAGTGGAGGCCTGCTGGGTTCTCTTCCCTTTTAAATTCCTTGTTCAAAATATAGAAAATGGAAATACAATGTTCAGTGGTCGTAAATATTTAGAAAACACATCTG